ATTGCTTCGCATTATTTTGGGATCTGGGACCAGCTTACTTCGGAAACTTGGTGTATAAATCTACTGTTTCCCTTTTACACTCCTGAATCGCGTAAAGCATACTCCTATTGTCTCTTAAGTTTACAGTTTCATCTAATCCTAGGGTGCTAGTTAGTTATTTATGTGTACAATGTTTAATATCACCCTCTATTTTGGTCAAGCATGTCATCAGTTACCTCTTATTACCAAAAAATGCCCACAAGCACACGGACGTGCGCAGTTGAGACCTATCTCTGGTGCATATATAGCTTAATTCTAGCACCTCCAATCGACCTCAAGCTGCCTACTTCTGGCCGTTTATGCTTGAATTTTTTGTTTTTATTACTGGAACTCATAGAAAGATCTCCTTTAACTTTGTATTATTGTCAATTCTGGTTGAGACTGCTTTATCCAGCCCTTGTTAATCCGAAATGACCTTTCATTTGTTATTTTATTTATTTAACGCTTAATAATTTAGCTGTGTGCGTATATAGTAGTTACCTGGGCGCCTTTATATTATCAAAAACAAGCTGTAAGGCCGAGTATGCCGAGTTTTATCAAACATCAAGTGGATAAGTGCAATAGAAAAGACGGACTTTCGTGAAAATGCAGCGCTTAATGCATACACCAGCAGGTAAGACTTGAACGTAGGGATATGGAATTTTAAGAAAATGCGGTAATCAAATCGATTATAATAAGGCAATTAAATAAAAGCTTCTAACTAGAGGCAGTAAATACAACTGAACATAGTAACGGCGACCGGAATAGCAAGGCTGCTCGAGCCTAGTGAATTATTAGAAGCCAAATGTCTAGACAGATAAAGAGGGATATTGTCCTGACCTCGGTTAAAAGAATTAAGCTAATTTAATTACCAAATTTTTTTACTTATTCTCCACGATTATACGAAAAACATTGTCAGATTGATATTTAAAGAAGCAAAAAGCACCTAATTGAGAAGGGTGGCCAGCTCTCCAATTCAAAAATAACCTTACCACTCAAACTTTGAACTCATTATGATACCAAATTATTTAATAACATCTTTTCATCTTCTTTGCTAAATATCACTGAAAATGTAGATCATTTTATCATATTCTTATAATCTGATGTTTCTCATGCCAAAGAAAATTCCGTTTCATAGTGCTTAATTACTTTAGGTTAATACATAGTACTAATTCGTAAATTTTGTTTATATTCAAAGATATGAAGACCAAGATTATGTGGCCCCCGGTATTTTTTATATTGCTGTTAACATATTCTAGGTTAATTTCGTGACTTTTTCTACATACTCATATCTATCAGCCAATTAAGATTCACTTTTTAAAGTTTCACATTGGATCATCGTCTTAGCTCCAAGGGGTTCTGAATTCATTGGGCTAGACATGGAATATATATAGAGATTTTGTATGAAATCAATCTAGCTCAAGTCCTATAATTGGCCTATACTTTGTGGATCCCAAACTAAAGATATGCAAGCCAGTAAAAGCCCATTTTTGCTTTTCATACATCTTTTTACAAAACTTAATTTTCGACATCCAGATCAATTACCCATTAAGCTTTATATTTATCAGGCCTGTTAAATCCTCTCTCAAAAATAAGAGTGGAAAGTTATGTTTCCATACTAAGTAAGTCGAATTGAAAGGTCTAATTCGAGAAGAAAGCTTATTTTTATCTAAATTTGCAGCTATTGGAAATTATTTTTCCAGATGTCCGGAGAACGCAGAGTCGTGTGTTTTCAATAAAGATGAACATCTAATTAATTTGATACTTTGAAATAACTTAATACTTTAGCATATATATATGATAAAATATTGTCCACAGTCGCGCTTTAATTATACTGTCTATATTACTAAAAAATCAACTCACGTTAAAGGCACTTTATAAATTACTAAAATAAATAAAGTTGTAGAAACTGTCCCATGCAATAAAAACTAAGATTTTAAAGTAAACAAATATTGGTTTACATTCTTTTTTCAATTAGTAAATGAATATAATCAGGGCCGAACGATTCAGGGAAACTTTTATCCATACTCAACCTCCTAAGTTTGGTTCAGGTAGGTTTAAAACGTTAACACTGGTTGAACGACTATTACGAAATTAACTTTATTTTGCATAAAATAAGATTAAAATTAGTCCATTAATGAACAAGACAACGTATTTTGTATTCTACTCGTAAAATACCCCCGATTTTAGGATAATGAATTACAACAAAGATGTAATAATTTTAAGTACGTTGGAATGTTCTCGTTTACCTATAACAACTCGGAGCGTTTTTTACCCAAAATCTCTTTAACGGTGTCAGAATTAATTACGGTATCTGGTTGTACGATGGGCCAAAGATAGCTTTAATAAAGTCTATTCCAAATGGTAAATTGTAGGAAATAACGACTAAACAAACAATCATATAAAGTTCACCATATTAATAGACTTTTCATACTTTTTAAATAAATACTTAAATAATAATGCTTAAATAAAACTTTAATAAATATATTATTGATTAATTGTTTTAATTATTTGATATTATTATTTATGTTTGGATTATATCTGTGATTTCGTGTGTCTTCTTGCAGAATGAGGTTCTCTGGTGGTGTTCGCATTGATCCACGCAAAGTTTTACCAAGTCGGCATTCTATCTTTGTACGAGGCTTTTCCCGAAATATTAAAGTTGATTCAGTTCGGTAAATTCTTATTATTACATCCATTTTCTAGTGAATTCTTCGCAGCACAGTGTGAAGGAAAATGCAAAGTTGATTTTTTCAGTTTTTCTGAAGATAGATCAAAGCTTTACGTAGCAATGCGTTTTGATTCACACAAAATGGCAAAAATAATGCTCCACAAGTAACTAAAGAGGTTTATTGATTTCAGATTTAACCGGAAAAAAGTTCTTGGTAGCGTCGTCGACATTACATGGTTTAAAGATATCAGAAAGGCAAGAAAAAAAGGTACTTTTAAATAGTTACAACAAATTCTAAGTTATCGAAAATGAAAGGAAGTATTCAGATCTGTTGGCTGATGATGACCGCAGAAGATCCTTTGGACGATGGAGTAATATACTTAATTATATTATTTCCAGATGCTAGAAGGCCTAGCCGAAGAAGGTTTGGTAGCTATATACATCAAATGTCAAGAAATGCAATTCAAGGAAGACGAGTATCCAGCAGTGATTCCTCGTCTCGTTCAAGCTCTAGCAGCTTCCATAACTCCAGAAGTAGCAGGTAATATCTCTGAGACGTGCCTATATATATATTTATTCTCTTTTTATTTCTTATAATAATTATTATTTTAATACCTATTTTATAAGTCAATCTGGTCCATCAAGAGATGATCGTTCCAGATCGAGGAGATCTCATTCTAACGCCTCAAGATCCTCTTCGTGTTCTTCCTCAAATTCTTCAAGATCCTATAGTTATGAAAGGTCTA